CCCAGCACCACATGCCGAGCAAGCCCTGCCCCCAGGTGTGCTGAGCCAGCCACCAAGACTGGGCGTGATGGTACACACCTATAATCCCAGCACTGGGGAGGCTGAAAACAGGAGGATCACTATGAGTCCGGGCCGTGTAGTGAGACCCTGTATCAAATAAATGAATAAGTAAACATATTTTTTTAAATAAGTAAAATTTTTAAAGAAAAGATTTCGTAACAATACGAGAAGAACAGTTGTTAATACATTGCATGTTGGGACGAGGGATGTATGTCAGTGGAATGCGCACCTACCTGGCAAGTATGAAGACCCTGAGTTCAGTTCCTGGTACCAACAAAAAGGATAAAAAAAAAATACCCTGTATGTTGTTATCTTTCAAGTACTTGCTCAGAATGTAAGATACAGGCACAGAACTTTCCAATTGACAGTAGCACAAACCTTCCTATTCAGTGAACTAAGAGAGACTAAGAACTGACTAGCATTTTTTTCTTTTCCCTTCTGTCCTTTCCCCTTTCACCCATCTTAGTTCCTTTCTCCTTTTAAACAATTTCTTTCCATTTCACATTATAACCTGGGAAGTTTAACTGAGTACCTCAGCAGGGCGCCAGGCTCCACACCTCCCTGTGAATATCCTGACTTGTGCAGAGGAGGGCACAGCCCTTCGGCTCTTGTTGCTCTGGCTGGACCTGCTTCCCTCACCGTGCCACCCAGCCTTGGAGTCAGCCGATGGCCGACTGAAACTTCCACATAATGAGCTAAATAAGCTTTTTTGGGTCTCAGGTATTTTCTTTGAGCAATGAGAGAAAAGTCACCAAGACAGCTGGCTATAAAGTGTCATAGCATGGGGCCCAGCAGGACCTCAAGCCCTCCCTGTTCCCTGCCCCGCAGGTGCCAGTGTCCCTGGGCTGGCTGGGAAGCACTGTGGGTGGTCTCGCTGGCTTCATCCTCTGGAGGACTCCTGTCCTGCATACACTTCTGTCCTGCCCCGGGAGTCCAGCTTGCTGATTTTGTGTCATTGGGCATTTCTCATGCAGTTAATCCTTTATGGATCAAAGCAAAAGTATAACCTACTATTGTGGAATGAACTAAGATACCAAGAAATGCTGCTAGACATCAAGGTGAGGGTGCACGTGGGAGGTGGGACTTCAGCAAGGGGTGTAGTGAAGAAGGCCAGCTGAGAGCGGCTGATGAAGCGGAAGGGACACAGTGCTCCAGCCTTGAGAGAAGCCTGGGCAAACAGAGCCCTGCAGGCCAGGCCACTGTTCTTAGAAGGGTACGTGGCTGGAGGGGGACCGAGTTAGAGGTCTGCTACTGTTCCTGGTGAGGGTACTCACTGTGCCCATACTGGCCAAGTAGCAGGCCTTTGCCAAACCTCTACCTCTTTCTGGGAGCAGGAATGTCCCTACGTGTAAGAGGAGGGGCCTCTGTGCCCCCCACCCCAAGTGGACAGTCGATGTCCCTGGTGGACATCGCCTGCCCCATCCTGTCCCGCACATTGCCGCAGGGTCCCAGGTGAAGGCCTACCCTGCTCTTCTCGGGCCCTTGCCTTCCAGTTTGCCCCTTGCCCAGGTTGCTGTGCACCCCTTTGCTGGCGCAGGCTGTAGCTGTGGTGCAGCCGTGTCCTCTCTGCCTTCCTCCCTGCGCGTCACTGAGCCTGCTAGTCTTGGGGACCGTGCACGCCCTTTCTCCTTTCCACCCTGGTGGCCTCGTGGGCACCATTCGGTAATGCGGGCTCAGTCCTTTGTTACTGGGAGATGAGTAAGACGTGCAAGTAAAACAAAACTGAAGGTTTTTAATACAGTGCAATTTATAGTTAATCGAATGGAGTCCCAGAGTTGGACAGATGAGGAATGTATGAACTCTGAAGGTCTGCTACAGGTTTTGTATGTGATGTGGCATGGTTCTTTTGGAGGGAGGTGGTCCTATTTATCTATTTGTAGTACTGGGGATTGAACTCAGGGCCTCGGCACAGAGCTACACCCCTAGTCCTTTTTTATCGAGGGACCGGGTCTTGGCAAGTGGGCTCGAAATTGCATTCTTCCTGCCTCAGCCTCCTGGAGTGCTAGGACTACGCATGGGAGCCGTCATGCCTGGCCTTCCAGCTTTAAATAGTTCTTAAACAGATTCTCAGTAGTGGGTGCTCTTTCAGAGGAGCTCTGCCCCTTCACTGCCTTCGTCAACATCAGGACGTCTGGCTTGTTTTCCAAAAGCAGGTTAGGAGTGATGGAGGATGGAAGCTTGCTTGGTGTGCTCTGCACACGGCACCTCCTCCCTCACTAAGCTGGAGGGGAGAGCGTCTTCTCTGTTCTTGGTGCCTGAAGCGTGAGTGCAGTATTTTCCCGTGTTACCTACAAGGTTCTATCCAGATTCACCCAGCATGGGCTCTGCTCAGGGATTGTTTATGAGATTCATTTCAAAGCACATGAATTTGCTCTCTTCCAAGAGTAAATAATTTAGAGGTATCTGAATATTTCAGATCATCAGCTATACACTGTGTAATACTTGGGGCTGCTGACAGATATGACGCCTGCTTTAAAATCGTATGTAGTAAAGTATTGTATAGACTTCCTGGCATGAACAGAGGCTGTTTCTTTGTATGTGGAAGGAAGAGCGCAACTCCAGAACAGTGCAAACATCATGTTAAAAAACCTCTCACGCTGCATCCAACTTGAAATTTAGCTACTTACTCAGTTTGGGCAAGAAAGAAATAAAACAACCGCGGCTAATCAGGGAACTGAGCAGGCGGAGAAGTGTTGTACAACACGGCTGTGCAGCACGTAGACGCTGGAGTTTAAGAGCCATGTCCTCCTCTGGAAAGGGCTGGGATCAAGTGCTGACTAAGCTGACTTGGGGTTTGCGGTGACGGTTTCCCTCGTTGTTGCACAATCGGGAACCTCAGCCTTCATCCTCTGCCCCTAGCACAGCTGGTCAGTCTGGCCCACACACACTGGCGCTTGCCCTGGCCCTGCCCTGCCGCAGCCCACGGATTTTCCACATGGTGTGGGTCCCGGTCACTGTCTTCTCTCTGGGGCTCTGGCTGTACCCCTTGAGCAGTTCTCTGAGGCAATCCTGGCCAAGTAGAGGTGCAGGGGCTCACCTTTCACCGGAGTCAGAGGACGAAGCCCTTGGGCTGTTGAAGGGCCGGTCTGCAGCATGCGTCCAGAACTCTAAGGAGCTGCACCGCTGGGTCTGCACCTCGTCGGTGCTGTGGTGCTGTGAGATTGCTGTTCCTGTGAGCCTAGCCGGGAGGCTGAAGGACCGGTGCAGCACCTGTGCTGGGCTAGGCCTCCTGATTGGTCTCTCCTGCCAGTGGTCCTCCACCCTGTGGAAGGGTTGTCCGTGCCTCCTGGGACATCGGAGCTGTGGGCATCTTGGTCTGGAACTCCAAGTCCTGAGTGCGAGTAGCACGTTTCCCGTCTTCATAGTTACTTCATCCAGCTCAGGCACGTGTCATGGTGGCCCCGAACGCCTCCCGTGCCGGGGAGTGCTAAGTGAGCACCCCTGCTGGGTTAGTGCAACCTGACTGTCAGGAAGAGGGCCGTGAAGCGCTCCAGGCTGGGCCCTGAGCACCGGGGTCTGTACCAGGCAGAGGCTGGGCTCTCGGTGCTGCCAGCTTGGATCTGTGACCAGGAATCTGCATGATCGTCTGTCCTCCGTGTGTCCAGTGCTGCTGTCTGTCTTCCTATAAGTAGCGCTCTACACTTTACAACTGTCATTGGTGTTTCCTGGGTGTTTCTGGGGCCCTGTGACTCCAAGGAAGCCAACCCAGATAGCCTCCCCATCAGAAGGTGCAGAGGTTTGCTGAGCGTGTGCTGTGCGAGGCCCCAGTGCCCTGACTTGAGTGTCGCTGACCAATGACCTTGCTTGGAGGAGCCAAGCTCTTTGAGGAGAGTGGCTCACCCCAAGTTTACACTATAGGCAGAGGTGGGTCAGGGCACACGTCAGGTACTCGCACCCCCAGGTGAGTGCGGGCCATTGTTCCTAGGTCGAGGGAAGCTGTGACAGCAAGGTCCACTGCCGAAGGACCGTGCAGTGTTACCAGGCAGCGTTCCCGATGCAGGGCAACTTCATTCTGTCATCTAGGGCTTGGCAGAGTTGTTGGAAGTCCGGGGATCTCCCTGCCTTGGGTCCAGGTTCCTGGGTCAGGACTGGGGCCCTAACTGGCCAGGAAACTGGGTGTTCACGTAGACCTTGTGCCAGCTGTGACAAGAGCACAGATGCACATTCCTTCTGCATAGTTCAGTGACCTCCCACCATTTTCTCTTTCAAAAGAAGCCATCAAGTCTTTCGGGCCAAGCGGCTAAGAGGTGGCTGCAGCACGTGGAGTAAGGTTATGCACGAAATTGAAGTCTTGCCTGCATTTGTTAGCCATGCTACATACGAGCTCTCAAGTTTGTGTGAAGTGTATTACCTCTTTAATCTAGGTTTTCGATAATTGCAGGAATATAAGGAGTGTGTGAATGCTTTGGTGAGTTTAAGGAAGTAACTTTCGTTACTTTTTGTTTGTGCCACTAAACCTTGGCCACCTTAACGTGTGCTGTTAATTATAAACACCATTTGTCGCACGTTCCAGAATGTGCAGCAGAAGCTTCTAAAGTGTTTATCAAGATGATCCCACACTGCAGAACGAGGAGGACAGTTTTAAGAGTCTTGACATATTTTTCTAGCTAATTGCATGGTGTTTCCTGAGGAATCCACCACATGCTGTGCTCAGGGTTAAAGACTGTGTTTGGTTCTATTCCTGGAGATATAGAGCAAAAACAAAACACTGCCGCCACCATCTTGGCCTGCGTTCTTGTCCTCCGCGGGTCACAGCGCCTGTCCTGCCTTGGAGCCACTTGGTGAGCAGCGCCTGCGTCTGCCTGCCTTGCTCCTTGTGGCCCAATTTCCTAATAAAATGCTGCCTTGGTGCAGTGTTACGGTGTTGTGCTGGCCCCGGAGCTTATGTCTTTTGCCTTTGTAGTGTCACACATTAACTTACTGAATTTTGGTCTCTGCAGGAATTTTAAACAGCTGTCAAGTGAAATGGAGTTCATGACAATGAACGGAACGGCACTGAGGAACCTGGAAATCCTGCAGAATCAGGTGAGGTGGGCAGGGCCTCATCACTTGACGCATGCAGCAAGGGCAGCGTGTTGCAGAGCTGGTTCTGAGAGCACAGGCCTGAGTGCGGCCTGGACCCTTACTTGCCTGCCGCTGTGTCCCGTGATCACTGTGTACCCACAGGTGAGAGAGCCAGTGTGTGAAGAAAGCGTTCTTGGGTTTCTTGGAGTGGTCGCAGACCGGCCCCTCTGGTACCTGAAGGCCATATCCATCCTGGTAATTCCTGTACCAGTTCTGTGCCCAGCATTGTCTTGAGAATTAAAAGGAAGTATGTTTTTTTTGTTTGGTTTCTCTGATTTTCCTTACAGTCCTTTCACTTTGTGTTGAAACATCTGTCTCCTATTACAGGCATGGAAAACAAGTCTGGGCTCAATGTGCCTGCAGGGTAGATACACTGTGTCTTACTTTTTAAAAAAAATGTATTTGGCACAGGGTCTTGTGACCCAGCTTGGACACGTAATGATCCTCCTGTTTCAGCTTCCCCAGTGCTGGGTGTACAGGCATGCCCCACCATGCCTGGACTTGGTCACCAGCTCAGCATGCATGGGGGCGGGGCTGGTGTGGTGTGCAGTACTGGGGATTGAACCATGGGCCCTGTGCTTGCCTAAGCATGCGCTTAGTCTGCTGAGCTATCTCACCGGCCCCATTGTGTCTCACTTTACAATATAGACTTTCTTGGCCATTTCCCTGCTCTGTATTGATGAGCTGAAAACATAAAGTGTTTTCATTTTTGAATTGTTACAGAAAGTAAGAGGTTACATTGTAAGCTGTTACAAGGTAGTTACAGAAAAATGACCAGTTCCAAATACAGCACCAGATCCCAGTCATCTGCCTGGTGGTAGAGACTCAGAACTGTCTGAGTGCAGCCCCCAGCCTTCCAGAAATAGTCTGGCAGTTGCCCATGCTCACACGCTCTTTTCTCCTGGCCCCTGCTTCGAGCAGTAGAGAGCCCTGCAGAGCCCTTCCCTGCCACAGTCCGTCCCTGTGAGCCGTGGCCAAGTCTGTTCCGCGCGGGAGCACTTTTCCTGTCCCTGCATTACCCAGAGGTTTCTCTGATCATGTAGGCCACGCTGGAAAGTGGCAGGGATGGAAGCACAGCCCTGGCATTCTAAGCTTTCCTGGACACATTTTCCCTGCTCAGATCCTGCTGCACGCAGGTCTGAAATCCAGTTCTTTTAATTTTTGTTCTGTGAAACAGAGTCTAGGTTGTTCAGGCTGGCCTTGAACTTACTGTGTAGCTCACGATGGCCTTGAGCTCAGGCCTTTGTTCTGCCTCAGCCTCCTGAGCAATGGGATTATAGATGTGACCTTTGTGCCCTGTTTGTAAAATCCAGTTCCTGAAGCAAAAGTCACCTATGAGCAGAGCACTTTTTAGTGTCCCTACTGTTACCAAGACTTGAGCTCTTGGACTGGGGATCTAGCTTGGTGGTCTAGGCACCTGCTTGGCAAGTGCAAGGACCCGGCTTTGATCCCTGCTACCACATGCTGTGCCACCTCGGAACCCTGTGTGTGCCGTGTTGGTGGCCACCAAGACCTGGTATGTTGGTGCACACCTGTAATCCCAGCACTGGGGAGGCTGAGGCTGGAGGATCACTACAGGTTCAAGCTGTGTAGTGAGACCCTGCACCAAATAAATAAATAAATAAACAAATACGAGAAAAAAAAGACGAGATCTTGTAGAGATAGAGCTGAGAATTAGCATCCTATACATGTTGTCTGTTAGGTAAACTTGAACCTCTTTCTATGGACTCTGAGGCATTTATTCACAGCTAACCAGACACAATATCAATTAGCTCTTTTCTTGTAAAAATATTACTTTGTGCACGTATGTGTGCGTGTTTGTATCTTCAGTGTCAAGCATCACATGGCCCACCCTGTGAGCCACGCGTCAGGCTGGGTGTGGGGAGCGAGCACAGGCGGGGGGCAATGCCAGCCAGCCAGCCAGACATTTGGCACCAGTGGGAGTGGCCACCAGTGGATAAAACCTGTTTTCTGGTCTTTGTAGACTGACGGGAAGAAAAAAGGAAGTTTACTGTGGGTGTTAGACCACACAAAAACTGCGTTTGGAAGACGGAAGCTTAAGAAGTGGGTGACACAGCCGCTCCTTAAATTAAGGTAAAAGGAATTATTTTCTGTTTCTTCAGAAAATATAACACTGTGGGGGTGAGATACGTCAGCATCCACGAGACGACCTTGAGCGTGTTTTCTGAGAACACAGTTGGGGTCGGGGAGACTGTCATAACTCACTTGCTGTATGGAAATCTGAGGGTGTCCTGCCCTCCTGGGCCACCCGCACCACTGCAGATTGGAAGAAGAGGTGCTGGCCAGTTCCTATAGGCCCCAGTGCACAAGGACGCAGGGCAGGAGCCCCTGCGAGATGCCACTGCTGGTCAGGCTGGGAGGAAGCAGCGGCTGGCGGCAGCGGGCTGGGCTTCTGGTCATGGTGTGGCACCACAACCAGTGCAGCAGTGAGGTGAGCCCTCGGGGGTGGAGAGAGGAGCTGTGTGCAGCAGGAGCAGCGGTGCCGCTGGCACCCACGGGGTGACTTCGCAGACAGAGCAGGTCCGGACCCCGCGTCGGTGCCTGGAGGCCATGGCGCAGGCATCCACGCTGTGCATGTGCAGAAGCCTGTGGTGCTGCCTGGTGCCAGGGCTGAGCGATGGAAGGCCTGAGTCTTTAGTGACCGGCCCTGGGGCCTCTGGGCTGAAGGCTGCTCACACTGCATGTAAGAGCCCCGTCTGGCTGGCGTTGCTTCCGAGCTCGCACTGTGCACTGTGCAGTGTACTCACATCGCTCTCCACAGAGAGAGAGCTCTTTGGAAGCAGGGGCGCCCAGCAGCAAGCAGCTCCTGCAGCATATCGCTGCAGGTAGAAGCTGGTGGCCACACTGGAGCTGCAGGGGTGCCCCAGCCCTTGGCTACTAGGCTAGATGGTGGTGCGGGCCTCGGATGCATTGTCCAGCCCTGGGGTTTGAGGTTTGATAGCTGCCCCGGACCAGCTTGGCCGCCTTTTCTGAGTGTATACTCCACCTTGGGGCTGTACCTGCATTGTCTGTTTTAATTCTTACTTTTAACAGCATGTTTATAGCATACGATGCTCACACTCCTCCTGGGGACCCTCGCAGCGCTCAGCTGTTATCCCTCTGTGCTGGGAACAGGCGCCCTCTCCTCTGCCCTCTCCACTGCCCTCTCTGCCTGGTGCTCACCCTGGTGAAGGACCCGAGTTTACAGAAGCTCAGGCGCCCTGTGCTCTTGCCAGCCGAGTCTGAGCCTGGGCATCTGTCTGCACTCCAGCGAGCACAGGGACTGGGAGCGGATGGTTGGCAGCCCCGCGGCCAGCAGCTGCCCTGCAGACCAGGCTCATGTGCTGGCCGGCTGGCTTCCTCTCTACCGCCTTCCTCCTCCTCCTTCCTTCTTCCTTCTTCAGGCCTCCCAGGCTGGCAGTGGGAGGGTCTGATTCACAGGCATTGGGAATCCCAGGGTCTGCCCAGTGTTGTCCACGCAGCTGCCAGCGGTATTAGGCATTGCCCTCAACCGGTGAGGACGAGCAGGAGGCCGTGTGTGTCCGAGCCCTGTGTTCCCTCTCTCCCACCACCGCAGCCTGAGCCATTCTAACCGTGAGGCTCGCGGACATCTGCTTTCTTGTGAAGGAGCAAGATACTTTTACTGAAAGCACAACAGTCTGTTGGGAGAGATGGCTCTTTTCTGTTTGTTACTGTTTCAATCCCATAGTGGTTTTTAGCATTTAAATGATAAATTCATTTGATGAAACTAAAGTTACCCATAAAAAGTTTGCCCTTCATTGAGCTGCAAACACTTGTCCAGGCCCCCAGGAAAGCTCTGGTGTCACTTGGTTGTTTAGCGAGGAAAATACACCAGTGTCTGCCCTCTTTCCCATCCCCGTGTCACACCTGGGGCGGGACACGCCACCTCCGCCATGAGGCAGGGTGGTCACTGCTCTGGCCTTGTGCAGGCTCAGTGATGGGCGCCCCGTGCTGGGGACTTTCTTACCTGATTAAAAGGCAGCATCCAGTGAGGGATGGGGTGCAGGTGGTGGGTGCTTCTGTCCCTGAGCAAAGCACTCACTGTACGCACTGCTCAGCTTCGTACCACCAGTAGAGGAAACGAAGGAAGCGTTCATCGTTCGGATGAGATTTCTGGAGGACAGTGAAAGAGCAGTAAGCGTGCTAAGATAGTTCTTGGCAGTTAAGTCCCGTAAATAATTAAAATTAAAGGGATGGAAAGTTGTTTGTGTTGGGAATTAGTTCCTTGGCTACATTTTTGTGTTGTTTTTACAGCACAAAGCACATAGCACATTTCCATGCTAGTTAATTCTCTTGCATAATTAAATGCTGTTGTTTGGTAAACCCACACTGTGCCATGCAGTGGCTGTGCTTCTAATCTGTCACCCTGGCTTAAGTGATGAGGGCACAGAGTGCCAGCACACTTCCCTGCACTTCACATCTAACTGGCATTGGCAGACGGGGTGCACCCTGAAGATAGTTGCTCTCCGGGGCCAGAGCTCCAGGGAGGCTCTCTGTGGCCCCAGCCTGCTGCACTGAGCTCTGTTTAGCTACTTGGAGTGGGCAGAGGGTGGTGGGAGGACGGAACTGCCGTGGCGATGGTCAGTCCTGTGTGTGTGCGCGGGACGGGGTGGAAGGGGAACCGCTGTGGCCCAGCAGGCCGCAGGCCTGGCGCTCGCCCACGTGCCTGTGGTGCTCGGGATGAACCGCGGCCCTGGGTGGGGGCAGCACCAACATCTCATTTCCCTCTTGGCTCTCCACATTTCTATTCTCCAGCTCTGTGCCTCAGTTACAGGGGATTGTCCAAATATTTAGACTCAAATGCTGTGGGAGGGGCTGGGGAGATGGCTCAGTAGAATAAGCGCTTCCCTGGTAAGCGCAAGGGCCTGAGTTCAGTCCCTGGTTCTGGGGGAAAAAAAAAATGCTGTGGGAACATGTTATGATCTGGGACTAAAAGTCGCTCCACGTGAAATACCAACGGTGTCAGACAAAGTGTCACAAGCGTCCCTATAGGTCACTGCTCGGCACTAGCAAAATGAGGGAAGAAGATTGGAAACAACAATGGGCTGGAAAGGGAAGAGCACTTTTGTGGGCTGACCCTCATCCTCCACGGTTTGGGGAGGAGACACCCTGGGCCCATTGTGCGAGGAGACTTAAGGGGGTGGGGCGGGGGCCCAGCCACACAGGCAGAGTCCAGCCAGGGCTGGTGCTGAGGGTGGGGCCGGCCTTGTCTCTGGGGTGGGGTTCTAGGACTTAAGCCCAGACTGCACAGCGGTGCAGCCTATGTGTGCAGTGGTGTGGCCTGGGGCGACATCCACGCTGTGGCATGGGCTGTAAATAGTCTGCGCCACAGATGGATGTGTTAGGACGAAGTTAGGGAGACACAGAGGATGGAGCCTGGGAACATAGGAGCAGGTACAGCATGGGAGTGCAGGTTGATTTTAAAAAGAAGCCTCCTTTTTAAAAACAATGGGCAGTGTAAACAATAGATGTAATTATTAAAGTACACATTGAATATTCCTTTTTTTTTTTTTTTATTATTTAGCACAGGGCCTACAGGATCTCACTACAGAGATCTGATTCGTAGCAGTGCTCCTGTTGTCAGCTTCCCAAGCACTGGGACTGCAGGCTTGCGCCACCACGCCCAGTCTTAGTGGCAGTCTCATCACAGCCTGGGGGTGGGGTCTGCGCTGCACACTGGGGATCAAAGAATACTCCTTTTTAAAATGACTAAGATCAGAAGTGATTTTTTTGCTCAGTTGTGGAATATTTCTCTATAAATAAGTGAGATATCTTGGAGGATAGAGCCCAAGTCGAAATAGGAAATTCATTCATGTTTCATGTACACCTTATATCACATCCTGAAAGTAATCTCATGCAGCACTGCTAATTCTGTGTGTGCATGGGGGTGCACACTCTCGGCGTCGTGCCAGGCTCGGCAAGCTTCTGGTTTCTCAGCAGCATGGACATCAGAGCTTCGAATCCAGCTGCTCTTAGGTGATGTCTAAGAAGTTCCCGGGAGGTAGTGAGAGTGCCTTGTGATGGACGGTGTTGGAGGGGGCAGGGCTTGTTAGCGTTAGTATGTTAGCAGCGTCTTCATCACTTGTCCAGTTAGGAGAATGAGATGGTTTAATGGTCAGTATTTAAAGGAATGACAGAGGATGAGGAGTTTTCACAATTCATGAGCGATGTGTCTCCTTAGACTTAGAAAGTGCAGCTTACTCAGAGTGTTTTAAAAACAACCCACATTTTGCCTACTCATGGATGGAACGTTTACAAAGCCAGAGCGCATAGCAAGCTCCCCTGCAGAGCAGTTAAGGCGGCAGAGCCGACTTGGGCTCTCGTTGCTCTTGCTTTCCCTGCGCGGCTCTCGGACTCCTGAGTGTTCACTGCCCTGCTACCCCGTGGCAGCGTGGTGCTGGAGCCTCTTGCTGTTGTCTCGTGTTGCTCTGGATTCTCACTGAGCTCATTTTCATCATGTATTGGCCATATTATTTGGAAACTTGCCTTTATGAATAGTGGGAGGGCCTGGATGCAGTGGCCTTTCTCCAGAGAGGACTTCTGTGTGCATCTGCCACATTTCTGGTGGCGCTACCCGAATAGAAGCTTCTCCATCCAAGTCCTGTATCAAGATGTTTTAGTGCATCCAGATGGTGGTTACAGGATCCCCCTTCCTGCGAGGCTGGGGTCCACTGGGAGCTCCTCCAGCATCTCCGCCGGGGACTGAGTCTGGTGGGCTGCCTCTGACTTCTCACTTTCTTTTACGTTGTTGTGTAGCTATAGTTGCCCCTCTGTTTGGTCCTAATGCCCTTAGGAGCATGGTTTTGTGTTTGCCTGGCTCTCTTGTGCCTGTCATTGGGAGGGACAGCCTAGAAGTTCCTCCCCACCACTGGCAGAAGCACAGTTTAAATTCTTGCTTTTTCAGAGCCTCAGGTTTGTGGGCTAAGCAGATAATGGTGGTAGCTGTGAGAACACTGTTCTGTGTAATACTGTGAAGAAGGTAAATTATTCATTCTTGGGTAAATGTTACCTGATCGTAGCATGAGTAATAAAAGCCCTTAAAGCTTGTTGAATAATTTGCAGTTCACAAGGTGAATGTTCAGAACACAGTTCAATAAAGCAAGTAATATTCTTCTTCTTCTTTTTTTTTTTTTGTGGAACCAGGGATTGAACTCAGGCTCTTGTGCTTGCCAGGGAAGCGCTTTATTCCTCTGAGCCATCTCCCTGTCCCCAAAGAGTCGGGACAGGGGCACGAACCGGCGACCTAGCGCTCTAGAGCTCAGCGTGGAAACCGCTGCGCTAGGTCGCCGCCTAATATTCTTCCTTTATGATCAGGTCATCTGAGCATGTGTATGAGTTCCTCTCCTTACTCAGCACGTTCCTGTCTTTCCCTCCTCATCTGGCCAGGGGACAGCTGGCGTTTCCTGGCCTTGGTGTCTCTGGGGACTGCATGCTGCCGCCCACCCCACACTCATCCTTGTCTGCAGGCCTCCAGTGTTCCTCCTGGATTTCTGGGGCAGCTTCTGCCTGGTCTCACTCCTGTAGTTTTCACACCAACAATAGACCCTTCCCGAAATCCTCCCTGACCCCTCAGGCTAGACCTTCGTGAGTTCCCACTGGACCTGGTTTATAACCAAGCTGTAATTTTATTTTATAGCATTGTTAATGTGAGTTCTTTTTCAGAAGTTTCACCTTTAATTAAAGCAGTCCATGGACGCGGGCTGAGAAGGTTTAGTTGTAGCCACAGTCCTATGGCTCGTGCTCTGGAAACGGTCGTGGTTGAACAGACGAGTGGCACATATGAAGAAGGAAGCCGGAGAGGTCCAGGCTTGGGCTTGGGCTTGTTCTTCTGGTGGAAACAAGTTTAGGTCACAGTGTAGCCGTGTCACAGGGGCAGTGTGTTCACCCTGTTTAATGCGTTCATTTTGATTGTCTGTCTTGAAAGCAGACTTTTCAATAAAAAGACCAAAATAGGAGAAAACGTAAGTTACTCAGGAAGCTCGGCCGAGCGAGTGTTGCAGCCTTCGCCCAGAGCCCGCGTGCTTGTCAGGGCACTCTGCGGGTAGGAAATGCTCCTCCAGCGGCCAGAGGCGCAGGTGCTGCTGTGCTCCTGGTGGGCCCCGGACGCAGCCGATGCCGCCGTGCGGCTCCTCTGCGGGTGCGCAGGGCCCAGGGACACCACTTGTAGTCCTTGGGTCTTTGCGGTGGGAAAGACAAGTCCTTGGCATTGAGAATGAAACGCCTCGGTCTCCATGGGTTTAGGGTCAGTGTGTGCGTCCGAGTGCAGAGCCCTGTGGCACGCCCCGGAACGGGATCGTCCTCGTCCTCCATTTGCCGGCGCTGCTTGTTCCTTACCTGTGAGCTGGCCTACCGCTTTGTTAGGGAGTCTTGCAAGGTCTTGTAACTAATTAAAAACAACTCAAAGCTGTGTGTTTTTAAAAAAAAACACAGTAGTCATTTTTACTCGTTTGTGTTTTGATCTGCACATAGGTGGTACCGATGGGATTATAGCTACCCCAAAGATGAGTAGTGGGGATAGCACCACATCCCCTGCTCCTCGCCCTCTGCCTATTTAGACATCTTAGATTAGTAGTCACCTGCTTTCCTAGAGGAGCCACTGCTGGTCTCCACACCGCACTCCTAAGGCACTGTGCTTCGCATGCCGGGACTAGTTCTTGTTCAGCCCTTCCTTGTTCCCTTGACCCAAAACACCTGCGTGCATATCTCTGCCTAAGGATTGTCTACACGGTTGTTTCCGAGCTTATTTGGGGTGCGGTCTCTCCTTCTCCATGCTGCGCCTCGTGGTCTCCACTGAACAAACGTCGTGAGCTGGGTGATGGCAGCAGCTCCCCTTTGGTGAGCTGTGGCTGCAGCCAGCCCGTGCTGGTGCCTGGCGGCTCTGCTGGTGGCACTGCTGCATTCTTGCGACCTGGCCAGGAATTCTGCCGTGTGCTCTCACCACACGGGGAATGGCAGAGCCTGACCGGGAGCAGGCACCTGCCTTGGAGCCCAGATTCTTACCTGGAGCCGCTCCTCGCCTGGCGAAGGTGGGGTTAAACACAGAAACCAGATCGAGAACACCATCCTGGGCTGCAGGAAAAGCAGCTTTCTTTGTGTTTTTGCAAGTTCCAAAACAACTTCACACCACCCTTTTAGTCTCTAAGAGGTTTGTGGTTTCATGTCTATTAAATTTCTTTCTGATAGAATTCATAAACTCTCATCTTTTTGTGCTTCAGGAACCCTTTAATTTTAAGACAGTAGCTCCGAGTGGGCTGTCTGTGTGTGCACAGATGGCATTATTTCATCTGTCCTTATGCCATCTGTGGCATCAGCCCAGTCTGTTCCACAGTGTCATCTCCCAGTTATGAAAGAATGAGTTGTCCATAAAGTCAGACTTTATATCTGTGTAGCATTTGGGGTAAATGTTAGAGTAAAACATTGATTTATTTTATCACAACAATTTTATGCAGAGAACATTTAATTTTTGTCACCCATTCCTTTTGGTCTTAGTCATTGAGCTGAACACGGCCTCTGTTTCTTGAGCACAGACTGCGGCCCCTGGAGCTATGGGTGGGTGAACCCCGGTGCCCGGTCATGCAGCTGCACTGTGCTCAGGGAGGGAGGTGGGTGGCGGCAGCATCAGTCTTGTGTTCTGGAAAGCGGGGAGTCCAGTCCTGCCGAGTAAGGGAGGGTGAGGCAGAACTGGGGGAATGGACAGGGGAGGGGAGAGAGGAGCGCCCAGGAGGAGGAGAGGGGCTGATCGCAGTGGGCTGGGGAGGAGGTGACCAGAGGGGCTGGATCAGAAGGTTCTGGGCCAAAGCCAAGGATGAGCCAGCGCTGTGGACAAGTGTGGCTTGGGGCACACTCACTCCATCTGCAGTGTGGACGGTGGGTGGGTGGGTGGGCATGATGTGGGGCAGGTAGGTCACTGGGGGAGGACTGTGCCTGAGGCCAGGGCGGTAAGGGGAGAGAAAGCAGAGGGCTGGGGGAGTCACCCCTTGGGAATGGCACAGAGCCTGTCATGTTCTGCATGGAGGATGCAAGAGTGAGTCCCAAAGTTGGGACAGGCCTGTGTGGGGCGAGGGGATGTTACCATTTTGGGTGCCAAGAGACAAGGACACTGCTAAGTGCCATCCAGCCAGCAGCATAGACCTTGCCCCGTGCAGCAGCATGCTGACACCAGCACAGCTGTGGAGATGCACGTGTCCATGCGGTTTCTGGTGTCTGCATTCTTCCATCCTCTCACCTACATTGCAAAAGTCTTCTGAGGCCCTGGGCCCACCCAGTGTTTGGCTGCCCCTCTGCTCCCCCCATGCGTAAGGTCACCTGCCGCCATCACCCCTAGTGCGGGATTGGGCACCTGCATGTGCCGATGGGTGAGTGCTAGGTCAGTGTGCGCCCATTTGAGTTTCCCCAGGGGCCTACCACAAAGGGGTGGCCATCGGCAAAACCCTCATCTCTGTGTCTGCAGATGTATTGTCCTCTGCACTTTGTGTCTTTGTTCCGTCTCTACTGTGACTGCCACTTGAGCTTTTCAATCACCCTGCCAGGGGACATCTTGCTCTCTGTGGGCCTGTCATGCCCTGAGGTCACGGGGGCCCCATCCTGTGTGTGAGTGTGGGGAGCCCTGCAGTTCCCATGTGGCCTGCAGGAGGGCAGTGTCCTCCTCAGCTCTGGTCCCCATAGCACTGTGAGCATCCAGCCTTCAAGCCCAAGAGGGAGAGGACAGTAGTAGTCTGTAGGCTGGCCACAAGTTGTCCCCTTCACAGAGTGGGACCCAGGGCCCAGTGCCCCAGACTGCAGGGGGCTGGGGGTGAGTTCTGAGTGCCCTGAGGGCTGGTCTCTGCCCACTGATGGTCTCCTAGTGCCCCGCAGGAGGGGAGCAGGAGGGCCAAAGTGGGGAACATCTCATGGCTTGCCCAGCCCTGGTGCTCAGGCGGGACTGCCACCTACTGACCCCACGCTGTTGGCCCTCACAGCGAGATCAACGCCCGGCTGGATGCCGTCTCCGAAGTGCTGCACTCAGAGCCCAGTGTGTTCAACCAGCTAGAAAGCCAGCTGCAGAAGCTGCCTGACCTCGAGCGCGGACTTGGCAGCATTTACCACAAGAAAGTGAGTGTGACGGGGTTGCGGGGTTGGGTAGCTGCAGGCCTCATGGCTGCTCCCTGGAGGACGGTGTGTGTGTGTATGTCCTCCAGAGCACTGTAATTTTGGTAGAATTTTATAAAATCTTGCAGGTAGCATGAGAGAATCCAGCAGTTAGCTGAGACTTTAGAAATTGTAGCTGCACACAATAAGGTTTTCTGAGTTTTACATTTTGAGCAGTAGTTTCCCCATTTGAGTGATGGCAGCATGTCCAGAGGCCCCTCTGTGATAATACAGACATTCTGCTTTATCCTCAGAGTGCTGACTGTTGTCGAAATGGGAAGCTCCCAGACGTGCTGTTGTAGGAAGGAGAAGGCTGAGGCTGTGGCTTCAGAGCAGCTGCTTGTGTGACTGGGCCAGCAGGAAAGCCACAGTGTGGCAGCTGGTGGTGTCCAGACATTTACGTAGTGCAGGAGTCAGAACCAGTATTTTTATTTTATTTTTGATACAGGCTCTCACTACACAGTGTGGACTCGAAGTGATCCTCCTGTCTCAGCCTCCTTAGGGCTCGGATTATAGGTGTGCACTACCATGCCTGGTTCTAGGGCTGGCACTTGCCAAGCAGGTGCTTACACCTTTGAGCTATCACCCCAGCCCAGAAGTAGTATTTTGATTTTTATCACTTAATTTTACAATTTAAGTGAGAGTTCTGACAAGAATTTTCCACACAGGTAAATAATTTCCCATCAAGATAATACTAGGGCCAGCCAGATAGCTCAGCAGACTAAAGCGCCTGTTCAGGCAGGCGCAGGGATCAGGGTTGGGTAGCTGCAGGCCTCATGGCTCCTCCCTGGAGGACGGTGTGTGTGTGTTTAATCCCAGCGTGCTGTGCTGGTGCTGTCCCTGAGGCTTGCTGAGATGCTGACTGAGACTGGGCGTGGTGGCATGCACCTGTAATCCTAGCTCTTGGGAGGTTGACAACAGGAGGACTGCTAGAGTCTGATCTGTGTAGTGAGACCCTGTAGTAAATGTATATATAGATAGATAGATGTAGATACAGATATAGATATATAGATAGATAGATAGATAGATATTACTAAAATTTTAAAAAGAGGGATTAATTATATTTGTAATAATCATCAGTAAGTTTTGAGTGCTTTTGCTGTTTTGCTGAAGTCGTGCCCACTCATTCCTCCTTTCATTCTTGGAAACGCCTTGGCCCTGAGACGGTGTGGCTCCTCTGCTCTCCTTCCTGGCACGGCTGTCATGTCGGCCAGGTGATGTGGCCTTGGGCGCTGCAGCGCGCGTTTGTGTCTTACCGACCCTGCCTGCATGTTGTGGCTGTGTTTTTGGATGCTGCCGTGTTGACATGACTGTCGTGACTGCTTACTGCACTTCCCCCTTGGTTGCTTCTTTTCACAAGCAGGTTTTATCTTTTGCTCCAACATAATTCCTTGCTAGTCTAGTAACATTGAAGAATAATCTCTATGGCCAGATTTTACGTGTGACCAACTTTTCATTAGTGTTTACTTTTTTTTTTGGCAGAAACGGGGTTGAACTCAGGCCCTTGCACTTACCAGGCAAGTGCTTATTCTACTGAGCCATCTCTCCTGCCTCTTTTATAATGTATTTAGTACAGGGTCTACAGGGTCTCGCTGCACAGGTTGGACTCATTCTTTTTTTTTTTTTCAGAACCAGGGATAGAACTCAGGCCCTTGTGCTTGCTAGGCAAGCACTTATTCCACTGAAGGTTGGACTCATAGTGGTTCTCCTGTTTTCAGTCTCCCAAGTGCTGGGATTATAGGCATGCGCAGCCACACCTAGTCTCAGTTGCCATCACAGAGTACTCCGGAGATGGGGCCAGCACAGCATGCTAGAGATTGAACCCCAGTTCCTGCGTCTGCCTAAGTCGAACTATCTGGTCGACCCTCGTGCTTACTTTTTTGAGGCCTTTTTTTACCCCTGAAGTTTTCTTGGGGTGTGAGTCCTGCCCAAGAACACTTGGCTTACCAAGAGAATTCACGCATCCATCCATGTGCCTCACCCTGTGCCCCATTTTTCTGTCTTTTGTGGTGTTTTGCTGGCACTTGCCGAAGCTGGCCTGAAAGTCTTAAGTTGAACTCCCACGGTCCAGGCCCCTGACCACGGGCGTGTGCATGCGTGTGAGCATGCGTGTTAACCCCCAGTCAGCGCATCTCCAGGCTCCAGGCCTTCTTGCAGGGAGAGGCAGGAAGAGCTCAAGCCTGAGCCTTCTTGGGTGGCTTAGCAGCGTGGCGAGAGCCTGCCTCAACGGAAGACACAGAACGTGTCGGGGTAGAGCTCAGTGCACAGGCCCTGGGTTCTGTCCCCAGTCCTCCAGAAAAAAAAAGAACACTGACACATGTCAGAGACCTTCGTTCATCAGGAAGTGGGCCTGAGCTGCTGTTCTCTGAATTACAGGTCGGAAGAGTGAGGCCCCCGTGTCTGGCTCACCGGGCTGACAGAGCCAGTCCTGGCTGCTGTGATTTCTGCTACAGCTCCTGGCCTGGCCTTAAGCTGCCTGGTGTCTGCCTCTCGTGAGGCATGTGCATTTAGAGAAGTTTCCTGACTGCCAGCAGTTCCAGTCTGACTTATTTAGGAAGTGACCAGTGTGCTCTGGTTGTGGAGTTTCAAAAATATCCACCTGAAGGGGACCATGACTCAGCAGGAGGAGGCCGTCCCTGGTGGTGTCTCACTGTCTCCCTGTTTGCACAGGAGTCAGGAATGCGCCTGGAGAAGCCTGAGAAGGGGGCGGGCCAGTGGCCCCGGCAGCCCTTGGTGCAGACGGCTGCGCTTGCAGCTGTGTTGCGTGGCGGGGGCTCGGCTCCGCGCTGTGACAGTGCTCCGCTCTAAGCAGCGCCTGCTGCGGGTGCAGCCGCACCACTGCATATGGCTCCCATGGCGCTGAGGAGCGTGTGCAGAGTCCCAGACTGGGTCCCTGGGCCTCTGGTTGTGCAGGGAGCAGATGCTGTGGGGCGACGGTGGAGCACCCATCAGAGCGGGCCTGGGGCAAAGTAAAATTAGTAAGGCTTTAGGTTCGAGTTGTAGAAAGTAGTGCCTGTTCCTAAGATCTGTGCTAACTGCGGGAAGGCGACAGATACCCACTGAGGCTGGTGGATCTGCACGAGGGTGACAGCACTTTGCCGAGGCCAGGAGGGGGAGATTTCCGGGGTATTGTCTGCAGAAGAGTCTCCTGCCCAGCCCGGAAGAGCCCGGCACCCCTGTGCAGGTGGTTGTGCCAGTGCCCAGCCGTGCATGGGCTCAGTCCTGAGCATTCTCCCAGATGCTTGCAGCTGGGTGTGGATGAAGCAGGAGGCACCACAGAGCAGCCACCTTGTGAACAGCGCTCAGCCCCTCGCAGCTCACAGGAGCTGGCTGAAGAGGCTCAGGCAGCACTCAGGCCCTCAGTTAGCTTTCCTTCAACTCCTTTTGCTGACTTAAATGAGCCAGGGTGGTGATGCACACCTATAATCCTAGTACTTGGGAGGATGAGGCAGAAGGATCTCTGTGCGTTCAAGGCCAGCCCAGGCTACAAAGTAGATTCAGGACCAGCCTGAAGTGAATAATGGAAGCCCAAAGACAGACGCCTCCAAAAAGTCCTTTCTTCCCTCTCGAATTATGATAATTATGTAAGATTATTATTAAAAAAATTATATTGAAATCAGACATACTAGTGCATGCCTGAAATCCCATCTCTCTGGGAGGCTAAAGCAGAAGGATCTCAGTTAAGGCTTGAAAAATTAGCAGTTTCTCTATTTAGTGACTTAGCCCTTATCTCAAAATAAAAAATAAAGAACTGGGGAGGCACTGCGAAGGCCCTGAGTTCAGTCTCCATAGCAAACCGCATTATATTGAAAATGGTGATTTTTGCGTTTTTACTTTCGCTAGAATGTCATTGATTGACCGTTGACTGAAACACTCCCACACTCCGCCTGTGTGGCGTGCAGCAGCGGCCTGCGGTGGCCCTGGGGCCGTGTGGGCTTTAGAGAAGTGCTCTGAGCTCATGCTTCTTCAGTTGGGCCCAGTCTCTTCTTCAGAATTTACTTCACCTCCTGTGGCTAGTGATGTTTACTTAAGGATGTTCTTAGTCTAATCTATTTTGCAGATACCAGTGTAAGTAAAATTCTTTTTTATCTGAAGACATTTTTTGAGGGGGCTGTTAGCCCAGTTTTCCTGGCAGAGAGCTGCCTCTTGGAGCTTCTGACCCGGCATGGTGCAGAGTACCCACCACACGGTGTGCTGGTGAGCGGAGCAGGGCCTTTTCTTCTCTTTAGTGTCCCTGCTTCGCGGGCGGCATGTGTCCCAGCAGTGTCCGTGAGGGGGCTGGCGGTGCTGGGAGGAAAATATTTTGAAGTATTACAGCTAAAAAGTCTCTGTTCCGTTCTCCTATTTGATTGACTATAAAGCGTAGGACATAGATTATGGCGCACCCTGAGGTTCCCTAGAGGAACGGAACCGAAGGGAGTGTGTGTCAACCTTCAGGGGTGTTTCAGGCAGCTCACACATCAGCGGCGCTGCCCGCAGTGGCCGACCGCCCCGGGTCCTGGAGCCATGTCTGCAGGGCCCAGGAGACCGCAGACCCCTGTCTCTGCGGTCCAGAGATGGCGGCCAGTTGTGGGGTGCGCTTGTGCTTCTTTCTCTGGATGCCCCCACATCCCATGTGTCTTCCCCTCAGTATGTGGCCTAGGTGGCCAGCCCCGCAGACACCTGTGCCCCCCATGCTTCCTGATTCGTCCTCGTGGGCATGCCGACCAAGGCCACGTCCTTTCCTGTGCAGCTGCGGGCATTGTCTTCTCTCCTGGTGCTAATGTGCCCTTGCCCACACGAAGACTGGCTCCCGAGTCTGTATGCAGCATTTCTTTGTTTCCTCCTGCTCTCCCCTGTGCTAGAAGTTGGGAGGTGTTCTGTTCATGGCCATGTTGCAGAAGTTCTCGTCATTTGCTGTGCTCGTGTCTGTTTTCATCCGTCATGTGGTGCCCTTTAATGTCTCAGCCTAAAGCTTGCTGCTATGGGTTATTTTCCTGACTTTTTTTCTTTCACTTGAATTAATGGATCTGATTATCTTTGCCGTCTGTATTTTTCCTGTCTTTATATTTTGCTTTAATCTTCTTAGAGATTTTGTTTTTATCTTCTACCTCTCTGCCAAATTTATTTTATTTTTATTTTTATTTTAGGGAAGGGTCTGCAGGGTGTTCATGGTCTCACTACTAGATCAGACTCATAGTGATTCTCCTATTAACAGCCTCCCAAGAGCTGGGATTATAGGTGCACACCACCACACCCCATCTCTCAGTGTGCCCCAGGGGCGGGGCCCCCGGCTCCTGCTCTCTACTGAACTTTTAAGTTCTATAAACAGCTTTTCAGTTTTATTATATGGTTACAACATTTTCTGTTTTACCAAGGATATTACTAATATTTTAGGTACTTTTCTCCCTACTAAAACAAGGTCTGTTCCTGCTGAGCTTAGTGTTGCTTTGGTCCTTCTATTTCCTTTTAGATTTTTTCCTAGGTGTCTTAGCATTTTTTAAAAGTTGGAGATCAGCTTTTTACAGACAGTACAGATACTGACAGAGAGTTTTGTTGGCCATGTAAGAGAGACTTTCTGGTTTCTTGGGAAGCCCTGCTAGCCTCTCTCTGTCCACTGTGCGTTCTGGGAGCCGGGGGCAGCCCTGGCCTCCGAACCGCCATTCAGCCATCAGCTGCGCACCATGCCAGTGGCTCCTCGGCCCTCGGCGGCCCAGCCATGGTGCAGACAACCTTTCAGCACTTCCCTGGGCTGCACGTCTTTCATAGGAAGGAGAGAGCAGGTTATCAGTGGCTAGAGGGCACAGGGGCAGGGTAAATTAATCACTCCTCCTCACAGTTTCAGTTGCCTCCTGTCTGTGTCATTCTTGTGGCTTTGTGCATTTGATACCTATCTTGACTATAGTTTCAAGGCAGACAGAAATGAGGTGTGTGCCCTCCACCCCCCTCTCCACCAGAGTGCCAGTGTAGACTGTCTCAGTGCATAAGCAGCTGTAGTGCTCTTGTGATACAAGACAGAGTGCAGAGTCCTTCTGCCACCTGTCTGTGTCCCCTGTCCATAAGCAGAGTAAGTCGCATGGTCCCCTTCCAGGGTGCTTCTGTGTGCTTCAGTTAACAGGGATTGTTTCAAAGATCAGGAAGTGCGGCTGTGGCGGTATAGAAATACATGTGGTGCATATGGTATAAGCATGTAGTGTGCATTTAATATATGTTGAAATTATGGCATTTAAACAATATTTCTTAATTTTTAACTATTTTATAGTTTTTTCTTAGTAAGATTCCAATCAGTAGATATTTGTTTTTATCTTTTTAGTATTATAGATAATATTATGTTAAAGGCTCTGATACACAGTTTTTTTCACTACTTATTAAAGTATGTTTTAAGATAAATATTTTGAAGTAGGCTTGCTTGGTCGAAGGATATGTACATTTTAAAAATCATGACAACGAGCCAGGTGTGCTCTTCAGAAAGGTTATGCTCCTATTAATGATGTATAAAGGTGCCTTTTATTTCTAGCCATGTGACATGGTTATGATCAAGCTTTTTTTTCAGTCTCTGATACTCTGACAGGTGAAAGATGCTACCCTGTAGCTTTAATTGGCTTATCTTTGTGTGTGAAGTTAACACGAGGTTGTTGTAATCCTCTCTATGAGCTACATGGTGTTTGGTGGGCCTTCGCTCATGGTTTTCGTGTGCCTTTGAAGAGCCTGCTGTAGGCGGGAGAAGTCTGTCTTTCCCTTTGATGTCTCTGTGTTCCTTAGCGTTGTCTTTCATGTGTTTGACAGAGCCCTCATAGCAAAGAAGTCGTAAACAGTGTATTTTAAAATGAAATATTCCAACCATGTATGGGTTCTCTCCCCTGCTCACATCATTTTCTTATATAGCCTGAAAGCATTTTACATGCTTAATCTCATTAGGAGTTCAGCAATCTAACTAGTTCAGAAATCTTGTCTTTATTCTAACTTGTGAAACATTGCTAGGGAGGCTTCACCTACATGCATCTTGTGCTGTCTGTAAAAGATCCTTCTCCGCTCAGTGTTCCACCCAGGAGTTCTTCTTGATCGTCAAAACCCTCCATCACCTGAAGTCCGAGTTACAGGCGCTGACACCCGCAGTGAATTCTCATGTACAGTCACATTTGCTCCAGACATGTATTTTAGAGGTCCCCGAGCTCCTCAGTCCAGTGGAATACTACTTAAAGACGCTAAATGAAGCGGCTGCCAAGTAAGTACTGAGTGCTCAGATGTTCCTTTCCAGGAGGGAGCATAGCCCTGCTGGTGATGTGTGCTTCTCTGTCTTCACTAGAATGGTGATAGAAGTGGCTAGAATACAGTGCAATGGAAATGAGGTTGGATACTAGAAATTCCGCCACTCTGAAAGGTGCTACTTTGCTGTCTGCGCTTAGCAGCTGCCCGCAGGACAGCTCGGTGCTTCGCCGTGTGCCTAGCTGCGGTGAGGACCCGGAGCCAGCCAGGCAGCGCCGAGGAGGCGCTACTCTTTAGCTCAGAATCCCACGTCAGGTGGCTTCTCTGCTCATTTCCTCGATATTCCCAGTCTGCCTTCTACGTAGAGTCTATGTTTGGGAGCTGCCCTCTGACGGCTGTCACTGTGCGGCGCATCCCAGGAGAGCTGCAGGTGAAAGGCTGAGCTGATGTTCACGTATGTCTTTGTTTTCTGAGTAGGCAAGAGCCAGAGATGGATTTTACCTCTCGGCTTCACTGTGGGATCCTACAGACGCCCAGGGAAAATGGGCCATTCTGTCAGTCCTCAGGACTCAAGAAGTGGCCCCGTAAATCCTGAGCGGCGGGGCTGGAATTAGAAACCGCCTTCCTGCCTCGAGCCTTTTGGTTGCTCTTCATTCTGCACAAAGGGACTGAGCACTGGTTTAATTAATATGCATCAATGTATGGATTGCTTTTTTTTTTTTATATTTTAGGATTGGGGATAAAACGGAATTATTCAAAGACCTTTCCAACTTCCCTTTAATAAAAAAGAGGAAAGATGAAATTCAAGAAGTTACTGTCAAGATCCAAACACATTTGCAAGAAATACGAAAAATACTAAAAAACCCTTCAGCGCAGTACGTGACAGTTTCAGGACAGGAGGTAACATCAAATGCGCTTTACTTTTGCATCAGCTTGCAGTGAATAGAAAAGGTATTTTAAAATGTAGACAAAAATCTGAGGGTGGTAGCTAAGAATCAGTTTTCAAAAATTTGTTCCTTGGAAATGTGTTGTAATAACTTGTTTCCATAAGAAATATTTTACTAACAGTGTTTTATTAGTCTCATGATAAATTCATGCAACTTAATGTTATATGAGTTTTGGTGTTCTCTCTTAAATTATGTAGTAGAAAATTTTGCTTATTGTGAATAGTAATTAAGAGAGTTCACCTAGCCTGGGGCCAGGAGAGAGATCCTGGTTTACTGATGCTGAACTGGTCTGAAAGAATCAGAAACAAAATTAGCCTGAAATCCTGCGCTTGGTGAGTCGTCCATAAGCCTAGGGTGTTTTGTGGAATGAGTACTTGGGTTCACAGTTTATATTAATATCTGAATTAATATCTCAGAAAAAGGAGATACTGCTTTTTCATTGTTGTGCTGGAGGTTGGACCCAGGGATGGGGGAGAAACACTTTCCCATTGTGGCCACACCTTTAGTTCCATTCTCAGTCCTGAGGCAGGTCGTTGTGGTGCCTTATGTTAAATGTAGATTCTAGCTGCCAGAATTTGAGAAACTATACTTCATTGGGAAGATCATTTCACTCAAGATTTTTAAGAAATAGTTATTTTTCTTTTGAGGCAAACTTTAATTTCAAATCAGATATCTTAATATTATTTTATGTATTTTACCAAAAGATGGCAATTGTATGGTTAAAGTATTGTAAATAATAGCATTTATTAAAATATTTATACATTGGATATTTAAAAGATTTACCACTGATTTAAATTAGCCTGTTTTTCTTAAAATTATGAAGATGTACTTGGGCAGATATTTCATAAAACATGTTCCACTTAGAGCTCTGTATTTATTTATTTTCTTTATTTAAAAAAATTTTTTTTTCTGTATTTTAGGGAAGGGTCTACAGGGTGTTCAGGGTCTCACTTCTAGATCAGACTCATAGTGAGTGATCTGCCTGTTTACAGCCTCCCAAGTGCTGGGATTACACACGCGTACCACCACACCTAGTCTCAGTCGCTGGCTCAGCGTGCCCCATGGGCGGGGCCGGCATGACAGGCCCAGGGATGCAACCCCAGGCCCTGCGCCTGCTTGCAGTTGCTTTAATCCGCTGAGCTATTTAGCCAGCCCTAGAGCTCCATGTATATATAACAAGAAGTGATTTGACTGTATTTAGGTAATACTCATGATTTCACACTGTCTGTACGTTACCTTCCAAACACCAAATATATAATCTCATCTCTTGTTTCACTGTGTGACCATGACATTGTGAAGGAAACAGTAACCTGAGAACCATAGCTCTGGTTCAGTGGTGACAGTCAGTTCTTTTTTTTTTTGGCAGAACTGGGGATTGAACTCAGGTCCTTATGCTTGCCAGGCAAGCGCTTATTCTACTGAACCATCTCCCCGGCCCCCGCAACAGTCACTTCACCACGGTGGCCTTGGTACCAGCAGTGAGAGGATGGAGAGGCTGCTTGGTGTTGTGCGAGGAGCCCTCGGCCCAGCGGCCAGCTCTGCCACTTAGGGGTATGCCTGTGGAGGGGTCCCGCCACGGAGAGCAGCCAAGCTAGACAGGCGAAGCACTTCCCGGTCACGCAGCACTGTGCACCCGGGGCGCAGTCACTGCTACCTAGCACAGGTTGAATGTGAGAAGTGTGCTGGTGCTTTACACGTACATCTTAAATTCCAGTACAGCGGCTGAGGCCAGGGCCTTATCCGTTAGGCAGCTGGGGCCCTTGGGCAGCAGAGAACGGGTTGTTCAGTGTTGCTGGGAAGGAAAGCAAGGACTGGAGTGCTAGCCGAGCCGCCCAGGGTCACAGTGGCCCCAGCCTGCCTGCTGGCCCGTCCGCCTGACGGGCCATTGTTTCCTTCCAGTCACTGCTGCCAGCCCCAGGAATCAAGGACACTGTGGATTGAATCTGGTAGAATCCAGTCACTTTAGAGTCTGTATTGTCACAACTAAAACAAAGCTTGAGTGTTGGAGGACAGCCTTGGCTTCAGTTGGCAGCTTTGAAGCAGCAATGGGAGAAAATGATAAAGACTTCACAAGAACTGGTTACACGTTTTTGAGTGCAGCGTTGATGTTTAAGGGAAAGTCCAGGATGGAGCTTGAGTAATAGTTATACATGGTTAGGAAGGACTCGTTACTTTTTCACAATCTCTAACTTAGGTAGGTCAGGATGACCAGTTTGAGAAAGAGATTTTTCTAGTTATTCCTGATGGCATGAATCCTGCTATGTTTTTTTAACAGTCTATCCTAGATTTGCATTGCTACATTAATGCAATATTATTTTATAATTTTTTAAAAGAAATAATGATTCTATTCAAATATCTAATGAATTCTAAATACTCAGAATTCCTATAGTCAGGTTCTGTTTTAAAAACAGATTAAAGGCTTTGGAAAGTAACTTATTTAGCATTACTTAAAAGAGTAAGGTCAGGTGCATCCAGAAGGATTATTCTGAGAAGTCAGGGAGGGCAGCTCTTTTTAACCTGAACTTGGGCTCCTCTATCCTGTCTGAAATTGTATTTCTGTACCTGTGGCTTTTGTCACAATTCTGAAGACTGAACTGAAGCATTCCTGTGTAGAACATGGACCTCACTGTTGCTAAGCCTGGGCAGACGAGTGTGCCAGCCCGCTACATCTTGGCCGTCTTCTGCCACGCCTGTCGGCACCAGCTGCCAGCTGGTGCCCTCACTATTGCGCCAGGCCGTAATGTGGGACGGCCCGAAAGTGTGCGCTCAGAAGAGACTCAGAAAGACACTGATGTCACTTCCCGAAGTCCGCGGCTTCTGTGGCTGTCCCGGCCACCCTTTGTGTCTGTAGAGATTATCTGAACCTGAGGTCTGGGGCAGTGCTTGGAACAGTCCTGATAAGCAGAAGTATTTGTAAGGGAAAAGGAAGTAAATACTCAGGATAACCTTGGGAAAGTGAGTATTAACTCATAGCAGGCGATGCATCCAGAAATCTGCTGTTTGTGTTCAAACTATGGGCTTCTTGTTAAATCTGCTGAGTAGAAAATGTGTAAGAAGGTGAGAAAGTGGAGGGAGGGGAGCAGGTTGGGTTTGGTGCTTGGAGAGCCAGAGGCAGGTGCTGGGTGAGCGGACGTCCCAACAGGGAATGAGGGGGCAGCGGGCTGAGCTGGCAAAATGGCTGGGGTTCAGGCAGTGAGCTCCGCAGGGCTCGTGGAGTTGCTACCGCCCACCCATACCTCAGGGCTCGTAGGGAAAGAGTAACCAGGAGAACTCGCGGTTGTTTCTGGGCAGTGTATAATTTTCCAGTGTTAGTCCTTGAACAAAAAGCCTGGCTGATCGATCATGCTTAGGATGTTTGAAAAACAGAATAGGTAGAAACTTCCATATTGTACATGGTATGGTAAAAAACATACAGTAATGTTTAAATTTTGCAAGTATATTACAATAAAAGACAGTGTCCTAGGTCTCCCTGCAAAAGCTCCCCTTGGCTTCTGACACCTGTGTCCTGTGAGCGCTGCTGCCCTCTGAGGCAGGGCTGGCGTCCTCTCGCAAGTCTTGGTGGGATAGCTGATCACGAAAGGCAGGCTCCCCACAGTGTGACACTGTGTCCTCCCCTGCTTTGGTGCCGTGTGACTCCTGCTGTGCCCCAGAAGAATGGCCATGAAAGAGAAACAGTTTGAGTCAGTTTAGGACATAAAGGCAGCCAGGGCTGTGTAACCAGAGATGCCCAGGAAGCGGCTCTGAGAGTTGCTGTAGCCAGTGGCCAGAGCCGTGGGACGAGGGGACTTGGAGGAGATCCGTGGCAATGTGGCCTTCAGTGGAAGTTTTTTTTGCGGGGGGGGGGGGGCTCAGCCCGCCTTGGCACGTGGTGCTAGCGATGGAGCCGCGGTCCCCGCGCGCTTGCCTAAACTTGCCTAAGCAGGTACTTTAAAGCGCTGAACTATCTCACTGGCCTTGGAAGGGTTATTCACCGCAGTGTTTGATCACATCTCATACAGCCAGGGCAGGAGAGAAGAAAGCTCGAGTGTACTGCTCACAGGAGGGCCTTCGGCCAGGGACTGCGCACCTGTGGGTGCCACTCATGCCTGTGTGGAGGTCCCCTGGGGGCCGGAGCCTCCAAGAAGTCCTGGGGCTTTCTGACTCATCTCCTCTGGAAGTGGCTGTGAATGAGCTGATTGCTGTGTGAAGGGGTTGATGATGTGCATGGTTCTGCGAGTCTCTTCCCACCTCCTGGCCCCTCGTCACCAGCGCCCGTTTGTCCCTTCGTATGGGTGCCATGGGCTCCCGGGGCTGTCAGGAGCTGAGCCTTCTGCAGTGCACCTTCTCCCGACGTGCTGCATCAGAAGGCCAGGGGGGCTCTCAAGGTGACTCTCCAGTTGGCAGAGTTGTCGGTACAGTGTAGGTTGCTTTATCTTTCTCACCGGTTATATTTATTTTCCGACCGTTTTTCAGTTACTTCTCACAGCCATGGGGGTTTCTAGTTGTTGCCCTTGTAACTGTGCGAGGGTATCAAGGTCTCTGTACTTGGGGGTGTCAAAATTATTGAAAAATTGTTGTTAAAGGTGAAACTCAGGGCCGGCCAAATAGCGGATTAAAGCGTCTGCAAGCAGGTGCAGGGGCCAGGGGTTTGATCCCTGGGCCTGCTGTGCTGGCCCACCCCACCCCCAGGGCACACTGAGACGGCAGTTGAGACTGAGTGTGGTGGTGCGCACCTGTAATCCCAGCTCTTGGAAGGATGTAAACAGGCGGATCACCAGAGTCCGATCTAGCAGTGAGACCCCCGAACATCCTCTAGACCCTTCCCTAAAAATAAAAAAAATAATAAAGATGAAAATCGGTAAAATTAGCCACTAATTCCTGTTATAACTAATGTAAAAGCTACAGTGATTCTATTAATGGAAATTAAATTTATAACAAGTTGGATATTGCTAGTGCGATTACATAAATACCTGAAACTATGTACGTGTGACTAACAATTGTGAGAACAGTTACTATAGCCATCCCAGACTAGTGACAGCCACCCAGCTTTGACACCTTCTGCTTCTGCTTGAGGTGAGAAGGCTGCAGGGGGTGGGGGATGGATGAGGAGAGGGTCCCCAGAAGTGAACCATGACACCAAACTCTATGAGGGAAAGGGCTGATTTTGGCAGGTAGAGCAGTCAGATCTGACTGTATGCAAGTACTTCTGGACTTGAGGTTCCTGTTCAAAATCTATTGCAGAAAATCCTATTCTGTTCAGAATAGAAGAATAGTATAATGTGTAATAAATGAGTGTTTAAAATTTTTGTTGTTAGAAACAATGTGAGTGGAGTAATTGGGTTCTCTGTTTTGTGTTGGTTGTTTTGGGGGGCAGGGTTTCACTGTTCAGTTCTGGCTGGCCTTGAACTTGAAGCGGTCCCCTTGCCTCAGCCCCCCAAATGCTGGATACGGGTGTGTGCCACCACAGCCTAGTAGTAGCGTTCTTAAAACAATCTAATGCTAATAAATAAAATAGGCTACTGATTAAAAAATCACTATTTCTAGTATGCATGTAGTGTTATAAACATGAAAGCCCCAACTTATATATTTTATTACAAACATTTGTTCAGTTGTGCTTTATCATAATGAATGAGATTTGCTCTTCAGATATATAAACTCTCCCAAGAGCAGTGCTAAATTTACTTTGAATTCTTAGACTATTTATCACAGTTGTTGCACTGTAGTGGACTGTAATGGTTACCATTTAAATGTCTGTTTGTATTTCTTCTAGTTCATGATTGAGGTGAAGAACTCCGCAGTGTCCTGTATACCCGCCGACTGGGTTAAGGTTGGAAGGTAGGTGTGGAGCCCGCTTTCTCCCAGTGGGGTTGCGGTGACAGCTGTGTGCTGCCCGCCCAGGGACTGCTTGCTCAGCTCTGAGGCAGCTTTCCTCCCTTATTTCCTGATGGCAGTTTTGACCAAAGAGAAAAATTTAAGTTATTTCATTGATTTTAAAATATTTTTCAAAAATGTGCTTACTTTCACCATTCTTCTTTGTAGCTTATGGTTTTATCTTGTCAGTTCAGAGTGCACAAGGAAAACTGAGGAATCCTCAGTTGTGAAATTAACGTGGATCGGTGTGGTGGTGCACCACCGGCATCCCAGCCCTCCGGGGGTGGAGGTGGGGAGGCGAGCGGGAGCCCAGCCGGGGCACTCAGTGACTTAGCAGGGCCCTGGCCTATAAAAGGTCCGAGATGTGGGTGCGTGCAAGGTCAGGTTGCGTCCCCAGTAGCAACGACGACAGGATTGTCAGCTGCTCGGGCTTCTAGATGAACACTGCACCTGACATTTCTGGAAGAAGCTGCAGTTTCGTTTTCTGCCTCCCTGAGCGGCACACTCCTTCCTTTCCTCGCGCTTTCTGTGGCAACTGGCTGCAGGAGCTCTTTATGTCAGTTTGTAGCTTGTATTGTGAATTGATGAAAATAAATTAATCCAGTCTGCATTCAGGAGCCAGGGCGAGACTGTCTTCTCTCCTCAGTTAGCACTCCCCTCCAAAAGCAGCCGCTCAGAAGTGTTGGTGAGTGTGTGTCTGCCTGTGTCCTCACAGCTGGGCTGGCGCCACTGCTGCGGCTGCCTGACCAGTGGGAAGATGTCACCTTCACCTCAGACAGCTGTAGAGACTTGTAGCCGGCGAGGGGGAGGCAAGCCTTGCTAAAGAAGGATTATTTTATTTATTTTTTATTTTTTGAAGTAATCAGGCTCTGGTTTAGTAAAAATCATGGTTAAACAAAAAGATAAATAACAAATAAATGTATGAAAAATACACATCATATGTAACTGGGATTGATTATCTTAAATTAAAAAGGAAACTATTCTCATTGCCACAGGGAGCGAGGGTTTGCTCCATTCTGATCCCCAGCTGCTCACTGTGCGCACACGGCCTGGGGTCGCTATTGGCTTTCTGTGCTGGCTGCCCAGGGAAAGGTGCTCCCTGGCTTGACATTCTGAGAGTCATGGTGGCCTGTCCAGAGCAGGACTGAATGTCTAGGACTTGAGGTTCACCAGAGAAGAGCCGCATGGTAGATGTGTGTCGAGTCCCGCTGTTCCCATGCAGTGCGAGGCAAGCTCAGTGCCAGCATCCCCAGAGCGGTCAGTGATGCCAGGGAGTGGACAGCAGGGAGGGCCCTTTTAGTCTCTCCTGTGGCGCTGGGACAGGCAGAGCCTCAGGATGTACTTGGCCAAATTCTGAACATGAAGGCCCTTGGCATTGAGGATGTTGGCCAGGTAGCAGTGCTGGGGACAGTAGTTTTAGGAGGACCAGCTTGTTCCGAAGACGAGGAAAGCCACATTTAGGGAGAGCCCGTTTGTGGGCAGCAGTGGTGCATGCCCATAGTCCCAGCACTTTAGGGTGAGGCAGGAGGATTTTAAGTTCAGGCCCAGCCTGGGCAACTTAGTGACTTACTGAGACCATGTTTCAGAAGTTAAATAAATTAAAGAGGACTGGGGATGGCACTGCATGCGAAGGTCCTGGAACCTGACACGTATACACATGTGCAGTGCATTCTGCGGGCCTGCAGTCACCCTGGCCGCAGTTGAGAGCCCCGCGTGCTCCCTACTTGTGCCGGCCCAGAACAGCTCCTGCCCTTCACTGTCTCCCGTGTTGCTGCTCTCCCTGAGCCTCTCAGCTTCCCTCCCCACTGAAATCTGTCAGTCATACAGAAAAGTGCAAAGGTGAAAAATAATAGCCTTCCTCGTGTTTTCACCCCAGCTTGTGACCTTGCTGTAAGAATTTGCTTCTGATTGTTTACAAAAAGCAGTTCACTTAGCGTAGAGACCCAAAAGCCTTCGCCTATGAAATGAAGATGCTGCCCTTTGCCTTTGCCGCACAACTAGTGTGCAGCGTGTTTCGGAAGCGTGCTGAACAAAGTCATGTTCTTTGGAAGCCTGAGTTCAGACCACAGTTAGACT